AATTAATTTGGGGTAAATAAAAAGTTAATAGAACGAACGAAAGTATCGCGTCGAAATGTTTTGTTATATTACCTATTCGAAATCATTCCGAAAAATTCCCGGAAGTCTCCAGAAACATTGTGTGTGGTCTGTTAAAAAAACGCTGAAATAAAATAAAACATGAGAAGTGGGGTGTAACGTTGCGATCCGAGATCAAGATGCTTTATTCGCGTGCAGGCGTGACGGGATAACTATTCGACCACGAGTAAGGCATATTGCCGCCAGTCGGATTGAAGGCGCGTCACACTGCGCAGACGTGTCAACCCCGTTTGCTTCCTTGGCTCGTGCGACGTTAAAGTAGCATTACTAGTCTCAACTCTTTGCTGCCCGGTTTCTACAATATTTAAAGAGAAAATAATACAATTTACAAACTCGGACGATGTTAATTTTCTTCGTCATTGAAAAAACAAATACATTAGAATGAACGAAAATATCGCGTCGATATTTTTTTTGATTCATTTGAAATCATTTAGGAAAATTCGTGGAAACACTTGAGAAAAACTGTGTGTAGCTTTTAAAAATGTTGATCAAAAATGAAACATGAAACGTGGGGCATGACGTTGCAATCAGAGATAAGTACGCTAACTTTGGAGCACACCGCCGTCGGCATTTGAATCCATTCTTCTCTGAAGTAACAAAAGCCTGGCTCTTCTACGATTTTTTATGTGTTATTTCTCTCAGATGATTGACGGCCGTGTAGCGCTCTCAGGCTCTTACAATTGATGAGCCGCTGAGCCCAAAAATGGCCTTTATTTTTCCCTGTCACCTCTCAGTTTTCCGGCAAAGCGACTTTATTCCCGGGCAAATGAACTACTTTGACGTATATTTTGCATGCATGCAATTTTTTTATAAATTTTCTTGAAGCCGTCATAGAGTGATCTCTATGTATAACAAGCTGCTGAATCCGAATGTGACCTCGGTTTTTTTGCATCACTCTCCTTTTGTCCGGAGAAGTCGATTTTTCCGGGCCTGAATCGGTGTAAAAGCTTTCCCGGGCTCAAAAAGTATTGAAGATACATTTAAAAAATGATCCCAATATGTGATGCATCGATCCCTATTTTTTTTTTTTCAACTGCAAAATCCGAATATGATAAAAGATATTTTCCATTACCCACCACTTCCCTGGAGAGGTCAATTCCCCTCAAAAAACGAGCTTTTTTCCTGTTGTTTAATGGTTTTGTGTCAAGCCTCTGCAGCCAACTTTAGAAAAGAGCTTTTAGGGTACTTTTGTGAAGATTTTCCTGTTCGAAGGAGTTTTAGAAATTTTCCGCGATCATCTTTTCATCTCACATGGCGCATTTAAAGCCACACTGAACCCCGAATGGGTCTTTCACTCCTGTAGCGACATTGGAATGCTCTAGGTTCCTTTTTGCATGCAAAATGAAATCCAAGTATTAAAGTAGTTCCAATAATAATCTTGATTTTTATAGGTATTTTTTCAAGGTGAGCTTTTCTCTTGATAATAGAAGTTTATGCGATCAATTCACGGATTTTTCGAACGACTCACGGGATTGTCAATCGATTCACGGATTTGTCGATCGATTCGCAGGTTTTTGATCAATAATTCACAGTCGTCAATCGAATTAGTGCCGATCGAATCACGTCAATCGGTTCACGTTCCAACTTTTCGATCGATTCATGTCGGTCATGTCGGATTCATGACACCGGTTTTTCAATAATTTGTCGATCGAGTAGGTGTCGATCGATTCACGCTTTCATTTTCCGATCGATTCATGTCAATCAAATCTATAAACTCTCCTGTCCAAATGGCATGTTCATATTTGCCACCATTCTCGAAATATTAGCATGTCTGTAGGTATAACACCCTGTTTTTGGTAGAATATCTTTCCGCAGGGACAATGCACCTCCCCTCTTCCTGGTATGATGGGAGGAAGGGGTGTTTTCTCTGTTGGTGTTAACCCTCCCCTCCAGTGTGTAATAGTGGCACCAGGGTCGTCTCCCCTATGCAGTCAGTGCTAAAACAATTTATAGTTCCTAATTGCAAAATGAGCTTCCCCGGATTCTATATTTTGCAATAAGGAACTATAGCCTTTTTTTTGTAATTTTTGGCAACAGTGTGATGTTTTCGAAGAATCTGTCAACACAGGGTGTTAAAGAAACTCCATAGCTATAAAATGAACCATCAAACCGCAACATTGATCGTTTTGAGGAAAAACGCCAATGGTTTTTGCAAAAGTTGCTCTCCCGAAAACCTACCGCACTGCCTATAGTTCCGAATTGCAAAATGCTATCCAATTGATCTAATTATTCTCGAATATGAATTTTTCCTTTTTTATCTATTCCTAAGTCACGGCGGAAGAAATACATGCTGAAGAATAAGGAGAAATTGTGGGGAGGAGCAGTTGTCCCTTTCAAAATGGCGGATCTCATGTGTAAGTAAGCTTTTAATGGTTTTTATGTGCATGTATGGGTGGGTGAGGGTGGGAGGGGATGAGGGTGGGAGGGGATGAGGGTGTGGTGTGTGTTAGAGAGTTGGTATGGAGGCTATTACTACTTTACTAAGGAAGAACGTCGTACGAACATTCGAGAGTTGCCAAATTTCCTTCGATAAAATGTTCATTTTCGAGGAAAGTTATGAATATTTATCCTTGAAATTTTTAGGAACTTTAGGTGAAATTGCGAGCAAAATTATCTGAAAAATTGGAAAGAAAATATTCATAAGTCTACCAGGAAATTCGTGTTTTATCAAATGAAATTTGGCAACGCCTGGAGGTTCATACGGCGTTTTTCGTTAGCACGGCAGATTAGTGCTTCCTGTGCTATACTGCCGTGCTAAGGAAGAATGCCGTATGAACATTCGAAAGTTGCCAAATTTCTTACGATAATATGTTTATTTTTGAGAAAAATTATGAATATTTTTCCTTGAAATTTTCAGAAACTTTAGATCATATTACGAACAATATTATGTGAGAAATTGGCAGATAAACATTCAAAAATTTTCTCGCAAATTAGTGATTTGTCAGAGGAAATTTGGCAACGCCTGAAGGTTCATACGGCGGTCTTCCTTGGCACGGCAGTATGGCATGCAGACTAATAGGTAAGTCTGTTGCACGCAAGAAATACAGCCAAGTAAATACGCTTTAATAAGGTAAATTCGCTCGAAAATTACGATGGGCACATGAAAAAAGTCTGAAATCCACTATTTATAGCGAGCAATATGTGTAGTTTGTAACATACGCTCCTTCATAAAGTTACTGCCTATGCGGGCATTTCCTCTTGGTGGTCGGCAGTTAGGTTTACCCGGAGAGAGACCGAACCTACTTTGACAAACAATCTCGCGAACTGTTATGAACATTCCTATCGTAAGATTTCAATTGATTCAAAGCTTTTGTTTTTGCAAAGTAAAGTAAGAACAATGAAACAAACGTCTGGAAACCATTGTAATCGTATAGTAGAAAAAGTTTGGGAAATTTGTTGCATACTTGGGTCAGTTTCTTTTACTCCTCTGCCTGGGCGAACCTGGTCGGCGGTGACTAAGAAGAACTGCCCGGAGACGCGGGAAACTTGAAAAAAGCGTTACAAATATAAACTGCACGGATTGCGCGCTAAGCAGTGGATTTCAGACTTTTTGATGTGCCTAATGTGATTTTCGTGCGATTTTACCCGTGAAGAGTCTAATTTTTAAGGCTGTAGGTACCTCTTGCGTACAACAGGCCCATTACACCTATTGCAATGCCATTCAAACAGATTGAGACCCGGTTCCAATGGGACATGACGGAAAATCTTACGGCTCTTGCCACACGATCAAATCATGCCATCAATATATTTAAGTCAAGTGCTGTGAATAGTACAAATCATCGAATCAGTCGATCTTAACACTGGACCTTGATATTTTGATAGGTAGGTTTGATCGCTTGACATTCGCTTTGCGGCGACACCATCAACCGCGTTAAGATGAAGGAAAAGCCATGCGGAGAGAGTCTCCAACATCTAATAGCCATTCTTGCCTATCGAAATAGACGACGGTTGTCTGGTAAATTGCTTTCATTTTGAATGCCACCTATCCTTGAATTTACTGGTTGTCCTCCCGGTTTTCCTTTCAACGGAAACTAATCCAGTAGCCTCTAGTTCAGCGATCTTTCGTCCAACATTCCTTGAACATGATCATGGCCATACCAGACAAGCTGTTTGGTCATAATTGCATTTAAATTCATTTCTGCGCGTGAATAAAACGACAACATACGTAGTGTTAGCGCCCCAAATCCGTCGTTTCACCGTCTCCTCAAGCCATCAACGCTAGAGAAAAAACCAAACGGGCGTTAAAAAGCACATAATTTCGGGGTTGAACCAGGGCCGGATTAAGGGGGTGGCCACATGGGCCGCGGCCCATGGCGGCAAAATTTAGGGGGCGGCAAATTTTGCAATCTTTTTGAATGTAGGTATCAAAAAATGAGAGAAAACAATCGGATTCAGAAAATAAATTACAAACGAGAAAAGGCGACAAAATCTCTCATTTCCTGAGAGTAAAAGTATAGTAATTTCTAATTTTGTCGTCTTTTGGTGATACTAGAGACAACACCTTTAATTAGTCGAGTTAAGAGAGAAACCAAACACGCCATTTGACCTGGAACGGAGCGGCGCGGCGGTCGGCATGAAACGCATAGCGCCTACAAGACTGCATAAATACTTCACGCATTGTGCCAACACAGTGCGGTCGGCGCGGCGGTAGAAGTTACAAATTTTAACCACATTTATGTTTGCTCTTTCATAATTTTTTCGTTATTTTTTATAGAAGGGGGCGGAAAAATACAGGCAGCCCATGGGCGGCATGTGGGTAAATCCGGTCCTGGGTTGAACAAGTATACATGTCTTTAAACTTCAGATAGGAGAGAAATATTTTAACCAGTGATTATTCTTGGTTCTTCTCTTGTTTTACATACTTCCAAGGGACCACCGTTCATCAGGAGTATCGAACAGTGCACGACGCTCTGCGCGACATCATGCAAAAAACTTGCGTTCGATTTAAAGAGAGGAGCGGGGAACCAGACTACGTGTACATCAAGTACGAATTTTTACAAAGGTAAGTTCAACGAATTTGTTTGACTTTACAGAACTAAACCTTAAGAATGGCTGACCAACTCGGGAAATCTGAAACGTTTTGAAATGCAGAAATGTTAGGTTTACACAAGTAGACCTCATATTTATAAATCTTGGCTTAAAAAGATGCCTGTGCAACCGCCCAAGAGATGGGCCCAGAGCTAGTTCTCGTTCTCAGAGGATAGATGGACGAGTTTTGTAGTTTACTTTGTGACCACTGTCCTCTCGGATAAAGACGAATTTTTATTAAATGTATCCCTTTTTCACGGGAACTTCGAGAATTTTTGAGTTATGCTGAAGCACCCTAGCACCCCTAGCCAGACCGTCCCTATGCATACATCCTCCAAATCATAAGACATTTCTTACGAGAGTTTATGCATAAAAATGAAATACGAATAAAAGTATGGTAACATTTACTATTTACGATTTAGTGAGTATGACTAGAAATAAAGGAGTATTCACCAGAACTTTGGTGATTCTTACCATAATATGATAAATGCTACCATGTTGTCTGGTGTTCATTACCATACTCGTGTCACTGTGTCAGAGTATGGTAAAATCTACCATATTTTTTTTTCAGTGTACTTTCCTACGTTTATTTTGGGAAGGCTTGACCACGTTTATTTAACTAGCCTCGTGTTAACGGCATTTTTCTTTGGCAGATATTCTCATTCACATCTCGGGAGAAAAGGCGGCAAGCAAACTTTAAATGTTCACGGTGAAGCCTTTGACAAAAGAACGGTCCTGCATGAGTTGGGGCATGTCTTAGGTTTGGAGGATGAGCATCGACGACCAGATCGTGACCACTATATCAAGGTTTTATGGGACAACCTTGCAGCGGTAAGACTCGACGGTAAAGATTCCGGGTTGAGACGTCAAGACATGGACCTACCCTGTGAAAGGGCCTCGGTTATGCGAACCGAATAGTAGGGTGGTTTATTTTAGCATTTCATTCGAAGTTCAAAAACGGGAAGTCGGAAGTCTGTGCTCTTAGCTAGAGAACATGTATAGGGAGAGTATCGGTAATTGTGGAGGTGATGTCATCGAGGGTCTAAAAGGGCAACCAACCTAACAACTCAATTTATCCGCAATGATTTATGAATACAATTGGTGTCACCTTTCGTCTGTGGCGCACGTATTAGCCGTAATTTTCCGTAAATTTACCCATTTTTGCCATTTTAGGCTTTCACTCACAGTGACACAGACGGGAATGAAGATTACAGTTTCACCATTTGCAAAGATTATAAACTGGAATGGACCGTCGAATCAAGGGCCTGGCAAGGAACAAATGGAATGAGAGAGGGAACGCAGATAGGAATTCGGGAATGGGTTGATCAATGATCACCAAAAACGTCCAATTTGTGTAATCTTTATTCCCGTTTATTCCGACGTGGTACGCTGCGGCTCGGCGCGGCGGGCGGGCAGCCAGCGCGAAACGCGCATTGGCGCCTTCAAACCTAACAGGGATACTTCACGCATTGCGCAATGCGTGAAGTATCCCTGTTAGGTTTGAAGGCGCCAGTGCGCCGCCGTTCCGCATTGTGTTAGGCTCTAATATTTAATCTCGTGGAGTCAGCATTTTTCAACTCATGACTTTGAAATGTTTGCACACTCTGTATGGATTATTCTCATTTTAATTGATGAAAAAAAATATGTAGTAAATGAAAATATAATGTGCGTTTTGTAAATGTTAAGGTGATTCTGTAGAAAACTTAAGGATTTACAAAGCACACGAATTTCTACAGAATTTCTTATAGCCTTTTATAGCCGATGGCGGAAAAGCATAACTGCCAGGCGATAAAGTGTGAAGCCCGGCGATAGGAACTATAGCCCGGCTGTATAATTTTTTATCGCTTCGTGTAGCCCGGCCGTATACTTTTTTCCACTTTCTACAGCCAGCTATATGATTTTCTATCGCCTTCTTCAGTCGGCTATAAGAACTCCTATGGTATTTTGAAACACAGCTCCTATCGCCAATTTTTACCAGGGGCATTACTTGTTTGAATCAGTGAGAACGAAAACACACCAACTCGGTGACTTAAAAATGCTCAATTTTCATTAAAGAGTCAGTTTTCATAAAAGTCATTGAAGTTAATGCATCTGTTCCGACTTGGACCTTTAAAGTGTCCTTAAGTACTTGTCTTTTGGCACCAAAAATATTTTTCTTGTGCTAACTTCTTCAGCTACTGTACACTTTAGCGTGTGTCTTGATTATTTTCATTTTTCGAGTTGGTGTGCTTTCAGTCTCACTGATTCATCGGTGGCCTGGTGAATTTTTCCGATTTTTGCACTGCTCTTATCAAAAACATAAAAAATACTATCAATTAAAGTGACAATGTATTTGATTTTTTTTTCTTTTAAATGTGTGTTTAGAAAATGATACTCAAAATATTTCGATTATTCCGAATATTTAAAAAAAAAAATCCATATGTCAGTCGTGACGATTTTTCGCAATAATTTCACTACAAAAATAAATTATGCAATGATAAATGTACCTACCTGTCTTAACATTTAAAGCCTGCATGATTATATCCGCCGCACACGAATCTCCCTCCTTTGTGCACGGCACACAATGGATCGAGTCAATTAGGGAGGTCGGACATGAAATTTTTTATCGAAACAGCAAATTTTTATTTTGTCACATTTTAAATTTTAAGGGGTGCTTTCGGAAGAAACGCGAAGAAACCAATGAAACCACTTTCAAAATCTCAAGATTTTTTGCAACCGGAGTTATAAGCGTTTAAAGTTTCCAAATGTTGTTCGGCTTCTCCTTTTAACTCAATCCACTGTGCGGCACTTGTAAACTTGTCAAAAAGAAATTGTTAATAAGGAAAGCTAATTTCACCTACAATACATGAATTGACATAAAGATGGAATGAAGTAGCTTTAGAGAGCAAAAGTACAGATTTGCGATGGTTTCACACATGAGGTTAATTTGGAAATTTTCGATGCATCCACCGTATCCTGCGTAAAATTTTGCCGAGAAAACGCATACCTACTACAAAGTTTATTATTTTAGCACGTCTAGGTGGCCATTATCGAGGTTGGAAGTGAAAGTTAACTGACTTGCCACCTTTTTTTCCAGGGAATGTTCGATTCCTTCCAGCCTGCCGACAGAGAGAAAACGAATTTATTGGGAGAGCCTTTTGATTATGACTCTATTATGATGTACGATGACACTTCCGGATCCTACGTAATTTTACTTTATATTCTTTTTAGTTTAGACCGTACTTTTTTTCTCCTCCTTCAAGCGGTAAACGTGTAGGTGATTCAAACCCACTGAAAAAAGGGAGGAAAGCTACGCTACTTTTACATCTAAGGGTGGCTCTTAAAATCTATGCAAACTCCACCGGGCTGGTTGTTTAAATTTATCGCCGTGTTATCTTCTTTGTCTATGGCTTTAGTCTATCGATTTCAACATTTAGTCGCCAGGTGGGCATTGGAGAGGTTTGAAACAAGTTTTGATAGAAATAATCTGTTTCAGACAAGAGCTACAGAAATATTCATGGCTAAAGTCCGACGCCCCGTATCTCCATTGCAGTGTTTCAAAATCTGTCCCCATTGAATTCTTTCGAAGAAAAGCAAGTCAAATACATGGTTAGAAATTTCAATGTAATATTTTTCTAATACAGAAAAAAAATCAATTAAGTTTTCAAAAAGTCAAGTTATCTAGTTTTCCAATTAAAAAAGGGAGTGTGACCAGACGCCTGCAACGTCACTAACGGAGATTACGTGGGTTCACACTTTAGCCATCGATATTATTAGATTCTCTGTAGGTACCATCGCCCAAAGATCTAGGGTACTTTCAAAAAGTTTGAAACCTATTCCTCAGCAATGAAACTCTTACCCTATTTAAAATTCGTCGAGAAACTTTGCGATACCAATGCAATGGCTCGCTCTGAAACCAGCTTCCAAACTCAAGAAAACTCTCAAAGCTGAGGCAAGGATGAAGGGGATTTATCTACGTCATAAAAGAATACACACTCCGCATCTACATCCAGTGAAACTCTCTACGTAGGCATGCATAGAGAGAGAATACATTTTACAAGCGTAACATTGCAATGATAGTATTTCTTAAATGAATACTTCGTTTATGTGTTTGTATGGGCTTGCGATTTCATATTGAGTAATATTTTTAGCCTCTGGAACAACAGGAATGACTTTTTAACAAGCCGTGAAAGGCATTACTCGTTGGAATTAACATCAGGAAATTGCATGGTATTAAAGGTTGTTCCTTTTTGTAAAACAGACGTTTATTTACTGTGAGGAAATTTCCAGTTGATTCAACAGGAATTCCTGTCTCGGCGTACTTAACGAGAACATTTTCCTAAGTGCAGGAGACGCATTAGACATACATTTACATTGAACTTATTGCTATTTTATTTATTTATTTTTTCGAGAACCTAAATTGTTTATCATTTTTTTCCCCCGGTTACGTAGGATCCTGAAAATTTAAAAACTCTGGTGTCAAAAACGAAACATCCTGTGCCTACTAAACTCACTACGCAACTGTCTCCTGGTGATATTAGAAGAATCAACGACCTTTACCGGTGTGAGGGTAAGTTGCCTAATCTGTCGCGGTACGGATACACGAGGTATGAACATTCGGAATTTGAATTGAATCCAAAGTGCTCCTCACAATAAAAATTTCTCGTGTTCAATGAGTCCTGAATCAATTTACTATCGGTCAAATACTAAATTTTAATAAATTATCACAACTAACTCAGGAAGGATTTGTACATGCGGTTATGTTAGTTTGGTTTGATTTGAACCTAAAGTTCGATATTACATCGAATGACGTAGCGACTAAATCAGTCTATAGTTGTATACATAGATAACACATTCACATCGTCAATGGTTTGAATAACCCTTATGTATTAGGCTTATCATTGATTCTGTCTCCTGCAATTGGCCTAAAATCTTACCAGATAGGCATCAAGTATATCAAAATACACAAATTTAAATCAATGCGGAAAATAAACGGTCATCCCAGACCGTGCTTTGATTGAAAAAGTACATTTTTAAACACTCATTAATCCTCTTACTTTGCTTCCCCCCGTATTAGGAATAGATCAAAAGCCAAAATTCCCATTTGATGTCGCTTGTTCCTTTGAGGATAATGACTGCGGCTTCAAAGGGCTGATGTGCTTTGAACGTGATCAAAGTGTTTGGGAATGGAAAAAGAAACCATATCGAGGGTATAAACAGCCAGGTATGTTCAATTTTTTAGGTGCTTAGCTCTTTAATAAGATGGAACTGAGCAAACTAAAAGTATCTTCATTCATCGGAGCTTTATAAATACAGCTTTTATATTTAGCGGATGGTCTTGGCCCGTACCTAAAAAGTACGGAGAACGGGGTTTGGGAGGATTTTAAAATGAAGCCATTTGAAAAATCAAAACGGGGCATCATAATCATGCCACAGCGATGACTTTGGGCAGAGAGAGCGTTTTTTACTCCACATTTTTTCCCCTGGATAAGTCCATATGAACGCCTTATAAGCGGGAATCGCATATAGCAACAGAAATGTATCCACGGTAGGATGGAAAGCGTCTTGGTGGTTTTGCTATTCAATGGACCCTCAAGTGATTTTCCAAAAATTCCCACCCTAATAGCACATAGTACAAATGAACCCATTTAAGCGGGTAATAATTTAAAGTGGAGATCGCGTAACTTGATCCAAGCAAAAATATTGTGAAAGATGCCTTCAAGAGGATTTTCTCTTGAGTCGACGAAAAAAATCGTTTCATTTAATAATTAAGGCTACTCTTGAAACACAGATATTAAGAATTTTAGTCTTGAAAAAAACATATTTCCTTCTTCACGAGTGGTCTTACCATTTATTAAATTTCTTTCTTTCAGTAAAGACGTGACTTGCTGGTATAGCAAGTTCCATGTAATTGGTCCTAAACTTGTGCACCAGTCTGTATTCGAAACCTAAGCTAAGAATGTGCAAATTTCGTTCATTCTGCAATTATAAACTGATCATCTAAACAATTTTTATCTTTACTCCCAATAAACCATGAATTTAAGTCGGAAATAACCGTTGTGAAATCAAGTTTTTGCATGATTTCAGTAATTGTTTTGCAACGATTGTNGGGGGGGGGGGGGGGGGGGGGGGCTCTTCCGGAAAATTTTTGAAAATTGGAACGTCGAAATTTTAAGCCATTCTCAATGACAAATTAACTTTAATTAAATATTACAGATGACAGGAATTTTGCATCATTTTTTGCAAAGAATTTTCATCTTCTCACATCTTTGATCAATTACTTTAGGATAAAGCTCATATTTATTTCATTCCCTACGTCTTTCATCCCAAAACTAATCAGTAGCTTGGGTCTTTGAAATTTTTTGGAAGGGGCCAAGAAGAATTGTGGAGGGGGCCGGTGCCTCTAATTCCGCCCATTATTGTAAGCTGCACAATCCTAGCAATGTTGGAAAGCTCTTGGTTCCTCTCTGCAAGATGCGCACCAATAATGTATCAGGTGCTTCAATGGCGGTGCATGAATGATCGATAATGAAACTATGAACATATGAACTATTTCCTCATTTGAAACTATGGCTAAAAATCGATTACTAAGGGAACACGCTGTTTATCGATCCTTTTCTGTAGGTTTAAATTTCAGATAAATCGATACATCGCAAAGCACTCCACGCCAGTGGTGTGCATAGCATTATTCAAGAACTCTTGATTCGCTCTCTGTGTTTTAGAGCCCGATGGAGGATACCTGATTTGGTCTGTGAAGCCCGTTGAAAAATTGACGACTGAGGATAATACTTGGAGCGTGGGTTTCTATGGAACAAGCCCTAACCACAGCATTCGCGGCCAAGAGGGATGTGTCACATTCAAGTACTCGTTCAATACTAGCAGAAAGGGACGCCACACGCTCAAGGTTAGCAGATAAATTATGAATTTAAAACTTGGTTAGAAAGTACCAAATTAGAGTCAAACAATACAAATATTATTAGGCCTTGTCTCCACGAGCCGTTTCACGAGATTTGTCCCAGGGAAAAATCCCACTTACGAAGTTGGGAAAAATATTGAGTTAATCAATATTTTCCCCAGTACCAAGTATAGTACTTGTACCCCTAGGACGCACTGAGAGAAGAAGAAGAAGTGAAAACGAATTGTGCGATATTTTATTCATTACTACATTGTTAATATTTGTTTAGTTAAAATAATATGTCTAATCGTCAATTGAGTGCAATTATTATTTTAATCCCGGTTAAATACTCGACTTTAACTAATTTATCTTCCCACGCAAACTAGTCGCAGGACTGTATGAGCCCCGTCCCGTGGAGACGGTAACTGGGAAAAATCCCAGAAGTTTCACTCCTGCGATTCGAACTTAGGACAAATCCCATGAAAACGTCCCGTGGAGACAAGGCCTCAAGTCACTCACCAATTAGAGGAAAATTGTATTAAAATCCGACGCGTTTCGACCCATACTGGTCATCTTCCGGGACGCGACACGGGGAGTCCGGGAGTCGAGTCGGACACATCCAGCAGTTGCTTCCCGGAAGATGACCAGTGTGGGTCGAAACATTTCTGTGAAGGAGAACAAACCAATATCATTTCATAAAGTTTTCACTGGTTTTTCTTTACATAGAGAGGTAAAATCACTCAAGTTTTCAAGAATTTATTGACGTTGTAGTAGTTTTCCATCTAAAAAATATATCTGACAGGAAGCCCGCAACGTCGCAAACTGGATCCGTGGTCTGGTAGTTTCGCCGTCGATACCTAGGTAACGGTGACCGTAAAGAGTTGCGATTTGATCGGAAAACGTGTCGTGATTCTATCGATATCGATTTTTTTGCAATTGATCGGATACAAAATTGCGATAAATTGCGATTTAGTAGCATAAATTAGCGATAAAATAGCGATTCATGGACGGTGATTTATCGCAATATTATCGAGAAAAAAATCGTGATTAATTGAGATAATATTTCAATTTTATAGAGGGAGGATTGCGACAAGACTGAGGATAATGGAGATGTTGCATGTGTGAGGGATTTACGATTTGACCAATGATTCTTAGGTAAAAGTTCGCGAGAAACACGATGGTGCCATTGGTTTTCTCTGAAATCATCTCCCAAGCTCAAAAAAAGCTCTCAATTTGAGGCCAAAATGGAGGGGATATCCCACCCTACCCAGAGAGTCCACCTCTACATCAAAACCAACTCTCCATGCAAAGATAGGGAGCAAATACATTAGCAGTGATGCCGTGTTTTCAGTTTTGGAGTCTCCAAATAAAGTGGCAACCCTGCTAATGTATTTGCTCCCTATCTTCGCATGGAGAGTTTGTTTTGATGTAGAGGTGGACTCTCAGGGTAGGGTGGGATATCCCCTTCATTTTGGCCTCTCTTTGAGAGCTTTTTTTGAACTTGGGAGACGATTTCAGAGAAAACCAGTGGCACCATCGTGTTTCTCGCGGACTTTTACGTAAGAATCGATGGTCAAATCGCAAATCCCTCACACATGCAACATCTCCATTGCTCAATATTAAGGTTCCTACCTATTTCAACGCCAAAAAAGCATAATAAATTCGAGACTTAATTACAAAATATCGCAATTTCTCCGTTGAAAAATGTTACTTAGGTCTCTCATCTCTCCCGCGTCTCCTCCCCTTATTCTTCCATGAAAATCATTTTAAGTAGTTCGCTGGAACTTTTCCGTATGAGTTAATGAACATGTGAGGTTAGATGGGAAATTAGTCGGATTTTACGTACCTAATTTTTTTACCATCTTAAATGACAATAACCCATTCTGGGTGCAAAAACATTTCAAAATCATGAGTTGAAAAACGCCGACTACGTGAGTTTGAATTAGATCCAAATACACCTGTTCAGCCGACGAGGGACGCGCGTCAGCGCCTACAAGACTGTATGGATACTTCTCGCATTGCGTGTACTTCACGGAGGATACCTCACGCATTGCTCGTGCACTACGGTGCGTACGTGCAATGCGTGAAGTATGCATGCAATCTTGTAGGCGCTAAAAGGCTGGCCGCACTGTTGAATGTTGAGTTGGGCTCTAAAACTCAAACTTGCGAAGTTAGAATTTTGCAACTCATGATTTTGAAATGTATGTACTCTCTATATAGATTATTGGCATTTAAACAAGTATGATATGCTATAGGAAAATATACTGTGTGTTCGGCAAATATTAAAGTGGTTTCGTGCCAAATTTGATGGCTGTTAAAACACGGAATGTTTCATCTTATTTTTGTGCTTCTTACTGTAACAAACTACTGTTACTGCTCTACTCCGTTGTGAAATACTACTTGGGAATGTGGTGTTTTAATGATGTCACTAAATGCTAAAATGCACTGTAGGAGCGACGTATATGCATGTCAATGGTCGGTTTTACCTACAATGATTTCGATTTCTTCAAGATTAAAAGGAAAGTTTGGACTATCGGATTCAAATGTAAACAGTAAACGTGCACCTCCCATTCTCTCATTGTTTTGGTGAATTCAGACTTTTTTTCCTGTACATTCATAATATTTTGCACGAAATTGTTGGGAGGGATATGGTAAGACTTTCAGAGCTTTCGCTGGGTACTGGACAGACGCAAGAATGACGAAGCAAATAAATCAGAGTAGTGCAGCTGGAAATTGACATGATTTAATTTTTATTTTTTATTATCTATGTATATATCTTGTTTTAAATTATTTGCTGCTTTAGTTACAGAAGGTGGAGCTGGAGTCGCCTTTGGATTCCGGATTTCTCGATTACAGCGCAAAATCTTCGTCCGTCATTTGGTCCGTTGAGCGTCGTCGAATTCCTAAAAAATCAACAGCTGCTGAATGGACTCAAGTATCGATCCCTGTGAACGTTTTAAATCCATTTTTGGTAAGATGGCCAATATAGCCTGTAATGTGATTAAATGACAATAATCCATTCTGGCTGCGAAAACATTTCAAAATCATGAGTTGAAAAACGCTGACTCCGTGAGTTTGAATTAGATCCAAACACACCTGTTCAGCCGACGAGGGACGCGTGTCAGCGCCTACGAGACTGTATGGATACTTCTCGCATTGCGTGTGCTCCACGGAGGATATACTTCACGCATTGCGCGTACACTACGGTGCGAATGCGCAATGCGTGAAGTATCCATGCAATCTTGTAGGCGCTAATATACGCGTTTCGGGCTGGCCGCGTTGTGAACGTTTTAAATCCACTTTTGGTAAGATGGCCATTTTAGCCTGTAATGTGGGAAAGGACGAATCTTTATGTTCGCACATGCTCATTATCGTATCATATCAATGGCTAAAGTAAGAAACTGCGTAGTTCGATCGCAGCGTGTCAATGTCCTATTATCTCATTTTATTGTCAGTTTTGTAGAAATGTAAACAATCAACCAGAATTTCCTCTGAAAATTTCGTGAAAAACATTTTTGAGATTAGTGAATGAAGAAAATTCATAGAAATTGCGATTGGTTAGGTTGGATAATCACTGCGGAGCATATTGCCTCCAAAAAATTTCATAAGGAAACCGAATCAAACAACGGGAAGTAAGAAAATCAATTCTTAAACACGGAATAAGTGTTTACGATTAAAATTTGTTAAATAGCAGAAAATGGCATCATTTATATACCTACAATCTAACTTCCACTTAATCCACTTGATCCGTTTGAAACCCTTTGTTGTCTGTTTTTAGTTCAGTGCTTGTCTAATCGCTAATTATTCTTTCAATTAAATCCGTAACATATCCGACGAGTCCCGCATAGTGTTGGCGCATAAATCCGTTTGGCAGAATGGGTCCGTTTCCACAGCCGTCCCCCCCNATTTCCCTTTCTTAATTTCCCACTTTTGAAGTTTAAGAAAAAACCCTTAATTTTGCGGCACAAATGTGTTTTTCTTACGGCACAAAATTATGGCATTCTTTTTTTGTCGGAAATTCGAAAATGGGGGGCTACCGTTTCTACAGCTCCCCCAAGTTTGAGGAGCATTTCCCTTTCTTAATTTCCCACTTTTGAAGTTTAAGAAAAAATCCTTAATTTTGCGGCACAAATGTGTTTTTCTTACGGCACAAAATTATGGCATTCTTTTTCTTGTCGGAAATTCGAAAATGGGGGGCTACCGTTTCTACAGCTCCCCCAAGTTTGAGGAGCATTTCCCTTTCTTAATTTCCCACTTTTGAACTTTAAGAAAAAATCCTTAATTTTGCGGCACAAATGTGTTTTTCTTACGGCACAAAATTATGGCATTCTTTTTTTGTCGGAAATTCGAAAATGGGGGGCTACCGTTTCTACAACTCCCCCAAGTTTGAGGAGCATTTCCCTTTCTTAATTTTGCAGTACAAAATTTTTTATTTGCGACACAAAATAGCACAAAATTATGATACAATTTTCTTCTTAAAACTCAAAGGGGGGGGGGCTGTGGAAATGGAGCCGAATGTAAAATCCCGCTTTTCCGATTCAGCGAACGTTACTATGCGCCAAATGTATGCGGGACTTATGCGTCGTGGGTATGTGTCTAGAGCGTTGATGGGCAGAGCTCATGAAATAATGCCTTGGAGCGCAGTTCCATACCTTCATCGTCGCCGCTGACGTCACCAGCGCTTTATGATCCCCTTTCATTCTTACGACCTTCGACTAAGGGGCACACCCCATCTTTCCCACCTGCACATCTGTTTGGTGGCAATACGTCCTATTTATCATTGGTTTGCAATTTTCAGCTTGATTTTGCCACAATTTTGGAGGAAGGAGTCGGCGAGCACTGGGTGAAAATTGACGACCTGGAAGTTCGATACACGCCTTGCGCGAACCTGAACCTGAACCGGTCGGATTCAAAGAGACCCGACACGACTCAGAACCGGTCGGGTTTGAAGAGACCCGACACGACTCAGAACCGAAGCAATTCTCAGAGGAAATCTTGTTGGTTCAAGAATTGTTTCTCCA